ACTTCTAGTTGCTAGAATTACCCCTTCTGTAATTCAGAGTATGTTTGATTGGATTGATTTTAGAAGGGGCAGTTGGCAATCATTCAGTTTACAAAAGACCTGCTCCTGATGGAGATGAAAAGTGATAGAACTGTTTTATTGATACAGTACAATGTCAGCTGCCTGCATGTTCTGAACTCTCCTCATGGAAGTAGTTACAGTATTGGCACATTCTTTATGGGGCCCCCCGTACCTTGGCGTTTACCATTCTGCCAGTTGCTCAGAAGAAAAGATAGATACAAGCAGTTTCACATTTGTATGTAGAATTAGAGCCCAAGCCTAGTATTTTCTCAAAAATTACTCCCTGAATCAAAACAAGAAAGAGCCTTGTGGCATCTTAAAAACTAAATATTTTATTTGGCAAATGTTTGTTGCTTTCATTGCAACATGGCAACATAGCCCACTGGAATTGATCCCCTTCACTTAAGTGGGACTTTGGTGCAAGAATGCAGCGAAGCCCAAGGCAGCCACGTCAGCCTCTATGAAAATAAAACCCACAAAAGGGCAACATTCGTTTATTAGGACTAATCCAAATGTCCTGAGCATTTATTTTGTTTGTATTTTGAGTCTCTGTGAGCAGGAATTTTCCCGGTGATGGCTGATGACTCTAATTCAATTGGGCAGTGAATGTGCTCCGGTTTTAGTCCATAATTTAAAATGATTTATCCAAGGTTCTGTAAGCTTATTTTGGGGACATGCTTTAGCACTTTTGATAGCATCTTCGGAGTTCAGATTAAAGTCTGGAGAATATTCAAAACGCAACTGGCATTGGAACAAACAGAGCTGCTTTCAAATATGGTGTTAAGGATTGCTATCTGGAGGGACCAAACTCCGGGAGGCAGTAGAAGACAGGAGGGCCTGGCATGCTCTAGTCCATGGGGTCATGAAGAGTTGGACATGATTTAACGACTAAACAACAACAACAACAATCTTGAGGGAGATTTTAAGCACCACAAAATTGACTGACCCAAAGACGCCCATGATAGTGCACTAATTTGTGGGTGTTATTTCTGTCTCTTGATTTTTTTAAAATCTAGACTTTCTATGCACCTACTTTAAATCACAGGCCAAAAAAAGAGAAAAAAAGAAAAGAATTTCTTTTTTAAAAAACTTAACATACATAAATGGGCCAGGAATTTTAAATTGTTTGAGTTGTTTTTCCTTGCTTTTTCTGAACTTTCCTACCTCTACCCCCAAAATAGGGAGCCCATAATGGTGGCTAGGAGTAGTGTTATCAGAAACAGATAGCTTGTTTCTTTGGCTGTAAGGGTTCAGGTCTTGAAATGCGATCTGCATAATTCATCCTAAGAAGCTTTTCTGTCTATCTTCTTTTCCTGCCGCTGTAATATCTTTTCACTCCAAAGCTCCACTTATACGCCTCCAAAATTGTAATGGCAAGTTCCTGTCAAAAATGGTTCTGAATTTATTCATATGAAAACAAGACAATATTTCAATCAGTTGGATTTTCCTTTGGTTCTCTTATTTAGTGTTTGTGATGTGCCTTGAACCAATGACTTTTAGAAAAACCCTCATTGATCATATATGCTGGGTTTCTGCAGTAGTCTGATGCTGGTGTGGGACTCCAGCTCCCATCATTCCTGGCCAGAAGTGGTCAGTGGTGCTTGGGGAAGGTGAGAGTTGCAGGCCATATATCTAGATGAGAAGATTTTGGGAAAGGCCAGAATCGGTGCAGAAAGAGTTTGACACATAGCAATTTTCCCCATGTTTCTCTGACACAACACACGTGCCATCTATCAGGAATATACATCTTGGTGCAGAGGGGAATGCATTTACTGATATAATATATTCCTAGCAGAGGAGACAGAGAGCTGAAAGAACTAACAGAAAAGCTGAAATTAAAGCAAAGGGAGCCAACTTCTTGACAGTTCCATATTTAGGCTTTTTTTACTTCATGCTGTCAAAGAGGGAAGATAAGTTTTCCAAAAGTGATTAAGGCTGGTTCTTATGCAGAGGGATTAAGACGCATGAATATATCACAGTGGTATTAAAAGTCTGATTCTGATCTAAAAAATTAACTTTTCCTGATTTACGCCACTCAGGAGTTGTGAAACAGGAATCTAAGTCCATGGAGCTTTTTCCAGGCAGCCTCTGAGGTTGCAAGAAAAATAATGTAGGGAGATGTTGAAGAACTCAGGGGATCCTTTGAAGCTTCCAACACACTAAAGAGGTAAGCATGCCAGCATGTGCCAAAGAGGCACTAGTATTACTCATTTTTTACTGGATAAGCACCTGTTGTTTTTCAGAAATACTGGTGACTGCAGTGAAACTTTTAAATCACCCTTTTTTTTCCCCGAGTAGGTGAAACTGCCCCTTTTAGTGTTTGTGGGGGTCAGTTTTAGAGTGGCAATCAGATAATTTTTCTCCTGCCTCTTTTACAAATTTTGAGTTAGGAGTTTCATATGCTGTCCTCCATCTGTAGCTCTCCCGTGTTTCCTACAACAGTTCTTTGGTCATTTTTCTATCAAGGGGCAAACACAAAATAATTACAGAATCTTTTAACTGCTAGCAATGGGAAATTTTTCCATCTGAAAAGATCCTCAGAGAGCTAGCTTGTGTCTGTGTTATTGACTGTGCAATTGTGTGGCTGTCTAGAAGTTTGTCCAAAATGGAACATATTTCCTGATCACTGCAGTTAACATGTGATGAAAGTAATGTGGCTTTAACTTGGATGTTGTTAATACCGTACCTCTGGGCCCCACTCAAAACAGCCTTGATCTTTCTCTTGGGCTGGGGGATAAGCAAATGCAGAGTCAAGTCCAGTTATTCTTGACTATCCCATAATCTTCCATGGGTGCTTGAGGACCACTGAGGTCTATAGGTGGGGCAGCCCAAGACATTATGTTGCCTGAGACAGAACAGCAGACTGAGCAGCCACCCTCTTTCTTTCCCCATCAAGGCTCACTAAACTCATTGTTGAGTTAGTTATTTAAGTGTCCTTGGTGGTAGTGGGTCAGAATCCTACAGCTGTCTTTCACTGGCAGTAAAAACACAGTTAAGAATTAAACCCAATGGCCAGCGAGATGCTGGCATTCCGCAACTTAATGAAATCTGCTCTTTGTGACAGGTACGTCCTCCACCCTAATGATAGGGCCACCCCCATTCTGCAGAATCTCCCATTTCTAATGTCAGAAGGCTGCTTCTGCAATGGTAAAGCACGTGCTCAGCATGCCAAAAAACGCCTGAAGTTCGACACACACACACAAACATACACAAATATCCCTAGCAAAGAAATGATCCAGGGCAACAGGTTGGGGAAAATGCCTCTTTTGAGAATCAGGCCAGCTTCTGCCAGTCAGAACGGATCAGTCCTATTTCAGACTGGCCCATGGTATATCTGAATGGACAGCATCTGTGGGTGTCATTTCTCACCCTGACTTGTTAAAAACCAAAGCGCACCCCCCCCTCCATTCTCATCCCACCAACCTTATTTATTACACCCGTTGAACTGTCACCCGCTCATTCACCATTTCTAACAAAGAGCAACCCAAGGCCGGCTGAAGCGGTGAAGTGACATCACTTGCTTCACAGCAACCTTTGACAATTTGGCACTGTTTTAGATGAAAGAAGGAGAGCGAGAGGGAGAGAGGGAAGGAGAGAGAATTAAAAACAGAAGTCTCTTTCAGTCCAAGCAAATGTTTCTGTAGTGCTACAGCATGGACAAAGAGCGCCTCAGACTCCATCAGATTTTTTCTCAGCTATTTCATTGACTGTTTTGTTCAGTGCTGGTCGACAGTGGCGAATGGAAGAGCACAGAATAAGGGGCACAATGAATAACGGGATAGATGTGACCAGACCAAACAACAACAGCGCAACCACACGGTGACCCACATTGAATGAGGGCACCAAGAAGGAGAGACCTTTCTCAGAAACAATATTTGCAATGCTTAGTGTGTTTCTCCCCACACCCCAAAGGCTCTTTACAATAAATGGAAGATCTTTTATATGAGAACCTGATTCTCAAACATTCCTAGTTTACTTACTAAGCTCCATGCACCAAATTAGCCCATATTTAATGAGAATAATATATAATACTTAAGATGTATCTATCTATACAGCACTTTCACATGTGCATAGCATTTTTGTACATTGTCTTGTAGTTTCTACAACCGGTATGTAAGGGAGGTTGGCATATTATGCACTGGGAAGACTAACTTTTGCTTAAAGAAGACCATCCTAATTCAGAGTTCAGGTTTTTGAGAATTTGCTGTCTCTGCTGGTTTTATATATATATACAGCATAATCCACTCCGCCCTGCGGCCTTGAGGAGAAATGGACTCTAGTTTATTTCAGATAAGCCTTTTGTCCACCTAGCCAATATTGCTTACTCGGGCACAAGTTTTATATCACAGAATTCAGGCACAAGTTTTATGTTGTGGAAGGATTTATTTATTTTCTGCTTTTATATCCCCCATTCCTTCAGTGGGTTCAAGGCAGCTCTCGTGAGTATCACAACAACCCTGTGAGGTGAATCCCTATGAGAGAGAGAGAGAGAGAGAGAGAGAGAGAGATTAGGCCCAGGTCAATTAGTTTCCATGGGGGCCTGATCCTGAGTCAGGGTCTAGCTCTGTAACCAATGCACAACAGTCTTGAAGGCTACAAGCAAGAAATTGGAAGGTTTTCATCAATGGACAAGTAAGTCTCTTTCCTATGGAAACTTTTGTCCCTCTGGAAATCGAAGAGCCTTGATTTCTTTCCTCTCCATCATGGGCTTTTAATGCTTTTGGGGTTTTCTAATTACGTCTTCAGGGATGGTATTGGGCTGTGGTGTTTTAATTGCTGTTTCCGGCCCAGAGTAGTGCCCCAGCACGAGATGAGCAGGATTATAAATATAAAGAATGAATGAATGAATAAATAAATAAATAAAAAGATCACAGGATTATAAATATAAAGAATGAATGAATAAATAAAGAAAAAGATCAAGAAGAGGGGAAATCTGAATTAAACGAGGAACTATTTATCAATCTATCGATCCGTTAATTAATACTCCGCCTGCAGGTGGAATCCCCGCGGGCCAGCCAATCAGGGGCGGTTTGCTCACAAAGGGGTCCGATTGTCTGCGCGGAATTCTCCGCGGGCCGCGTTCTAGGAAGCGAGGCGCCGAAAAGGAAGCGGCGGAGTCAGCGAGGCATCAAACGGGAGAGATCCGCAACCATCCTTTTTTTGTTTTTGTAATCTCGGCCGAGGAGTCGCTGCCGCTGGTCTGTTGATTTTCGGAGGGTCTCCGTAATCAGGAAGTCGGAGAGGAGAGTTTACCTGGGCGCAAAGTTACGCGCCAGGCGGAAAACGCGGTCAGCCTTGCTGGAGAGAAAAGAAACAGAAGGCGCCCAGGGGTTGATATCCGGAGGAAAGGGAGGTGAAGCTTCTTTCTACCTTCCCTAATCCATATAGTTACTGGCTTTTCCTTTCCCAAAGAGATACCGAAGTGATTCCTGCCAACCATATATTTCTGTTCCCGTATCTCCCCTTTCCTCTGAGCTTTGCTGGATTTATTGGCTCTTAGTACCTGGTTGGATTTCTACAGAATAACAATAAACAGTTTACAGTCTGGTCAGTTGTGAGGGGAGGAGGAGAAGAGAAAGTCAGTAGCCAGCAAGGCTATCAAAGGAGAAACAGAAGCTCCTAAACTTTCCTACACTTATTGGGGGGGGGGGTCAGGTGAGGACAACCCATTTAGATGTGAGATTCCTTCCAAATGATTCCTGGCTTTGGAAGGAAAATTTGAAGGCAGCAGGGAAGAAAGGACCATATAATGAGATGGACTCACCGCATAAAGGAAGTAGCATCCTTGGGTTTGCAAGATCTGAGTATACTGTTAAACAAAGGACATTCTGGAGGCCAGTCCTTCATGCAGTCCCCATAAGTCTGAAGTAATTTGGTGGAACATAATAACAACAGTTATGCATTAAACTCCTCTGATGGATTGGCTTCCTTTTGGTTTTGTGTAAGGATTGAAGGTGGGGGTGGGGGCTGAAAGCTCAGGGATAAAGTACGTCATGTAAAAATCTGCCAAGTAGCTTTTTTGAGACTACAACTCTTAACACTCTGATGTTGAAATACAAATGACAAGCCCTGATGTGCTCAAAACCAAGGGGGGTATTTTTGCCCAGGAAAATCAGCAGCAAATGTTGGCTCTGGGAGGCAAAGAGCAGGTCTCCCTTGATCCTCCTGCTGCAAGAGGTTAGCCAACTGTGGTGGCCCAGAATGGCGAAAACATTCCATTCAACCCATCTGGCACATGAGTTTCCATAGAAATGAGAAAGAGTGGGTGCATTGCAGCACCATGTGCTTCTCATTATTTCTATGGAAACCCAAGTCCTGAATGGGTTAGACGAAGCTTAACCATCTGTTCTGCCCTCTAATTATAAAGAAGAGAAGGAAAACATGGCTCTTTGATGACATCATGCACATGTTCTCCTTTTGAATACCCCGAGAGAGTTGTTGGGGTGATTTTGCGATGAAGGGAAGGGCGAAAGTGGGGCATCGTCCTTCTGAATGAAAGGAGAGAATTCCCTGACATGGATCATTTTTGTTTGCTGTTCCTTTTCAGGACTCACACTTTGCTTTGACAAGGATCAGCCAGTTTCCTTTAGCACAAACCTCCACCATTAATAGGAGAGAACATGAAGGCAATGGTAATGATAGCTACTTTCATTCTTGTCCTGGCTTTCTTGAGATTAGACTGCTGCAGATTGTTTTCTGTCGGGGCTCCCCTTGAAGACAGTGCACAATGCCACTACCTCGTTATTGAAGAGTAGCAAGTTGTTGTCCTCATGTTGTACTATGCTGAAACAATATTGGCTACTAATTGGTTTCTTGGCTATTTCAGGATTCTGGTTTTTGACCTATAAAAATTGGTCCGGGTCTCAGTTATCTTATGGAGCATTCTCACCTGTACCTTCATTTTTAAAATTCCAAGTCTCCCTGTTTCATATCCCTGCTTTTGAGAAACTAAGATGTGCTTGTCTCTTTCTGTGGTCAGCAAACCAGCAAAGTCAACTCTGTTCCATTTGCCCTTTAGAATTAATTATTTTCCTCCCATCTCATTGTACTGATTCTTGGCACTACCTCCAAAATAATATAAAACTCAGATCTGAATTATTTTATGAGTTAATCAATTTAATAAATTTTGTTTAAAATTTGAACAAAATTTGAAGAGTGGTATGTAAGTTAACAATAGAAAATGGAAGAGAAGGAGGGAAGAAATGAAGGAAAGATAATCTAAACACACATATATGCATTTATTATAAGCTGGCTTTGCTTGTACCAGACACCTGGAGGCTAGAGTTGGACCCAACTTTCTGAGAACTTCTATGCTTTCAAAATGAAAAAAGGCCAAAGTTTCTAGTCCCTGTGGTTACATAGACAGCATTACATCTGAGGTGTTGATACTGGAGAGAAAATCAGAAGTCAGAGGGAAAACAACATAATGTCTGGCAGCTGGAGTCTTATTTTCTTAGCCCTGCTTGTAGTTCATCTTCTTTATTGTTAATTAGAATAGAATGGGTTACAGCAAAGAGCTGAAGCATTAGATGTGTGTACATGTTTACATGAATGAAAATGCCCCACAACACTTGAATTGACGGCTGCAGCACATGCTGGAGCTCTGACTGGCAAATGATCTGTTACATTTGCAAACTCCCTTTTGCCCAATGCCCTCCCAGTTGTGTACATGGCTCTCCTCCTCCACATGTTGTTCTCCGACCAGCCCTGTGAGGTTGGCTACACTGAGTGTGTATAACGTGGCCCATGGTCACCCGGAGAACTTCATGGCACAGAAGACAGAGGTCCAATACAAAGAACAGATTTCAGATTTCCCAAGTTAAATAGGAGATACCCCTCCTTTTTTTTCTTCCTTTCTTTTTCCTTCTTCCATACTCGTATAACTCTGACCTCTAGCGCCGAAGAGGGTCCCTTGCTAGGAGTGAGTGCTCTGACTACACGGAGAAAGAAAAGGAGGTGATGGCTGAAGTTGAGTTAAGGAAACTGCAGCAACAGTTTCGGATCATGGTGGAGAGCCGGAAGTCTTCTGGAGTCAAGACTCAACAGCTGTTGTTCCAGCAGGGGTAAGGGAGACTGATTTTTAAGATGGGTAGGGAACCTCAGATCCTTGTATTGTGCATGCCCCTGCAATTAGGCATGCAGAGGGAGCCAGGTTTTACATGCCAATGACCATTCCAGTGACAGTCCCACCTATTAACATGTTTTCACAGTTGTACCCTTTTTGCCACTTGAGAGAGTTCTCTTTGTAGATACAGGATAATGCATTGAGGTGCTCAGTATAAGGCAGTTTCCTGTGTTCCTAATTTAATTTTCCCCCCATGTTTGCACACAAATAAATGTGTCTTTTTGGTTGGATTTGCAATGTTTAATATGGATTTATTTCCCCCTCGCCCCACCAGTAAACAAATCAGTGCCTTGAAGCAAGAGTACGATGAGATAAATTTACTCCTGAGTCTCACCAAGTCACCCCGGAACATCTTCATAGATGAGCAGAACTGCACGGAGCTCAAATACCTTCTGCAGACCAAAGATGAATACGACGCTCTCATTGCCGCCACCAAGGCCTTGATTGTTGAACTTGACAGTAAGGTAAAGAGTATGTGATGTTTGCTGGAGGATGTCCATGTACCTGACGTGCAAGGAGGCTAATTAAAGTTGACCCCCCTTGGCCACTGAATGTGTGTCTTGTACTTCTGGTTCCTAACTCTGCACTTTTGTTCAGCGCTTGTGAAAATCTCCTGCTGGTGTTCACCTGGGGCCCACTGTAAAAGCTGACAGCTCATAATAAACCTGATCCTCCTCCTTTTATGGGATGGCTCTATTTATTAGTTAGGTTTATATCTATTTTTTTCTTCCGAAAGGACCAAGGCAGCTTTTTTACCTTCCTTTCTGGTGTAGCCTCACAACAGCCCTCGGTGACAGGTCAGGTTGAAAGAGGATGAATTTCATGTGGGGGCTAAAATCTGGATCTTCTGCGACCCAGTCCGACATTCTGTCCACCGTGCCACACTGGCTGTGGAGTTGAACTACAGCAATCATCATCCCGGATAACTGACCGTGCTGACAGTTGGATTTTTCAATACATTCCCCATCCTTGCCTTAAACCCGGGGATTGTTGATTGATTATCCTTAAGTAATAGCTCACTGTCAGCAAAAGCAAAGAATGCTGCTTATATATTGCGCTGTATTTTTATTTATTTATTTTATTTGTACCCCGCCCATCTGGTCCTATGACCACACTAGGTGGCTAGACACACTCTCTGGGAGGCTACCCCGCCCATCTGGTCCTATGACCACTCCAGGCGGCTAGACACACTCTCTGGGAGGTTTACAATTGAATTATGCAAGCTACACATTGCCCACCCATCCATCCATTTATGCAAGCTACACATTGCCCACCCATCCACCCATTCAACCCCAGCAAGCTGGGTACTTAATTTACCAACATCAGAAGGCTGGAAGGCTGGGTGAAACTCAAGCTGGCTACGTGGGATTGAGTTTTGGCTGCAATGCTGCAGTTTAACCACTGCACCATGTGTGGTGTAAGTGTAACATAAGATAGCTTTCTATGTTGCCATATGCAACAGATTATTCTACCCCTGCACCCTCTTGATGCTGCCTCAGTTTCATACTCCTCTGTGTCGGTTGTCTGAGGCAGAGAGCTCTCCCCCTGTTAAGAGGACGAAGTCCTGTTTTGCTTAGAGAAAAAGTGCCACGAGCATTGGTGGGTGGGGCAGGAGGGGCTGCCAGCAGCTGCAATAATATAATAACATCTTGATTTATTCCCATTGTCCCTTAGAGCTTTTAATTCACCCTCACCCGCCATGCACAGAAGGATGTCAACATGATTTGTCCTTGTTATTTTAGGTAATGGAACTGGAGGATAAGATTAAAAAGCAAAAAGTGCTTGTGATCAAACTGAGGCAGGAATACGACGGGAAATGGCTCCAGAAGCAGATCCAGCTGCTGGATAACCGGCTCAACCATGTGAGCGGTCCCTTCTGCCTGCACACCCTCCTTTTCGCAGCTTCTCCCTTTCCTCCTTTCTTGATGAGTCAAGTCTGTCTCCTTAAAGAGGTTGAGATGTTGAGGAAAAACAACTGTGTATATTAATAACAGACATTGGGTGGGGGTGTGCCAACACGAGCAACTGAAATAGCATCATCCTTATAATCAGAGATTGTAAAAGTTGTAAGTGTGTGTGTGAGTGAGTGAGAGAGAGAGGGAGAGGGAGGGAGAGGTCATGCCCTCTTGTTGACTTTTATGAGAGAGAGAGAGAGAGAGAGAAGGAGGTCATGCCCTCTTGTTGACTTTTCTAGTTTAGCAAAGGTATAAACTCCCCCCCCACCTGTAACTCCACCTCTTCGAGGCCAAATGCAAAACGTAAAAGTAGGAGTCTGCATATCAGTAAGAAATTACTTTGAATGATACAAAGAGAGAGAAGAACTGGGTTTACCTGGCTGTTCGTGTTTCCTGCGGGTCTGGATTATTTGCCTGGTGGATTTTGTGCTCCTTTTCCGACTGTCCTCTTGGTCTTGCCTCTCCAGGTGACCGTTTATTTTGATACCGTGTTGACCACAAATGCCAGGCTTCGTGAAGAGATAGGGAACCTCCAGTGCCAGAAGTCGGTCTTTGACCATATCTATTCACAGCTCCACAAGAAGCTGGAGCAACAGAAGAAGACCATGGACGTGTCCATCGAGCAGTCGACGCAAGCCTATGAGCAAAGGTGCGAGGCAAAGAAATGGGATCCTGCAAAGCGCCGAACCGTGCATGACAGACAAACGGGTCCCTCCAGCTGAAATTATATGAGAGTTCGAGGGATGTGATTCTGGCAGAATCTGAGCAAAATCAGACTTGCAGCTACTTATACAAGTATACGGGATGTGGTGGCGCTGTGGGCTAAACCACAGAAGCCTCTGTGCTGCAAGGTCAGAAGACCAGCAGTCGTAAGATCGAATCCATGCGACGGAGTGAGCGCCCGTCGCTTGTCCCAGCTCCTGCCAACCTAGCACTTTGAAAGTATGCAAATGCAAGTAGATAAATAGGTACCACCTCAGTGGGAAGGTAAAACAGCGTCCCCTAGTCACGCTGGCCACGTGACAATGGAAAGTGTCTTCGGACAGGCACTGGCTCTATGGCTTGAAAAGTGGGATGAGCACCGCCCCCTAGAGGCGGACATGACTGGACTAAAAATGTCAAGGGGAACCTTTTCCTTTACCTATACAAACAACTACTATTCTAAATAAGTATTTATTGTATATTCAAGGAGAACCTTTACCTTTACCTATACAAGCACCTCTGTTCTACTATTCTAAATAGCTATTTATTGTATATCCGCTCAGAGTAGACTTTGGTCTAGATGGGTGGGGTATAAATTTACTAAATAAATAAATAGTATAATAGGATGGAGCGCATGCAGGAAAGCTTCTCAGTGCAAGAAAGCTTCTCAGTGCAATTAAATAGTATAATAGGATGGAGCGCATGCAAGAAAGCTTCTCAGTGCAAAGTGCCCAAGGCATGTACCATAATCACTTGCAAGCACCTTATGCACATCATGCTAAATGATATAGCAGTGTGTGGAATGCTTCATCCTGACCTTTTTCAAGGGGGGTGGGGGGTGGCAGGGAGACACTTCACAGGCGTTGCCACTGCAGCATGTGATTTTCTCTGTCCCCCTTTTAGGGTTGAATCGCTTGCGAGGATTGCTGCTATGAAGGAACGGCGCTGCAAGGACATTGCGCAGTTCAACATTGAATATCGCGAGCTGGAACGCATCTACAACCACGAGACAAAGCTGAAGGCGTTTATGTACATCAAGCTGATAGACCGTTCAGAAATCGAGGAGGAAGCAAAAAAGAAAGAAGGTAGAGGTCAAAAATCCTGGGATGAGCAATGCCTTTATGATAATAATAACTGTGCACCATCAAGCCAATTCTGATTTATGGTGACCCCTTTCAGGGTTTTCTCGATAGAGAGTAGGCAGACATGGTGTACCTTCCCCTTCTTCTTGGGGTTTATGGTGACCCTTTTCAGGGTTTTCTCAATAGAGAGTAGGCAGACATGGTGCACCTTCCCCTTCTTCTTCGGGGGGGGGGGCCCCCTGGGACTGTACAGCTTGCCCAAGGCCACATAGGCTGGCTCTTCTCCTAAGAGGCACGGGGTAGGGAGGCTGGCTCTTCTCCTAAGAGGCACAGGGCAGGGGTAGGGGAATTGAACTCCCAGCCTCTGGTTCCACAGCCAGGTACCTAAACCACTGAGCCATCCATCCAGCCAATGTCTTCATTAAAGCAGTAAAAAGTTGCAATCAGAAGGAGTTTTGGAGTTCTCCAGAACACTTCTTCAGGGAGAGATTATATAAAATTTGGAGCCAGGGAAAGAAAGGCAAAAGGCCCGAAAATTCTGGCCTGATGTAATGGCTGCTGCTCTTGAGACAAGCTTCTAACAATGCAAGATGGAAATTTCAGATTAAATCTGGTGACCTGACACCCTTTTTTTAATCCTGGGTTTTAAGTTTCCATCCTGCCTTGCTCGTAGTTTTCTGCCTCCAGAGACAACTGTATCTGGCCGATTTGGAATTTGGGGGCTGCCTCTACTCACTTCCCACATTTTCTATCATCTGTGCCTGAAGTAGAGTTCACCAGAAGCTTTCAGTATCTCTCGTTTGTAACTTTTTAGTGACCTTGCAAAGGTGTGGCTCAACCCCAAATTCTATTTCTACTCCTGGGCCTCTGGTGCTGCTTTTTAAGAACACTGGGATCAGCACCCATCTTGTGACCCAAACTTGTACTCGTCGTCACCCCGACCCTGTAATTTCCCAGCTCTCAAGGCCAGTAAGCGGGCCAAGACCAAGGGAGAGAGCTTTGAGAGCTACGAGGTGGCCTACATGCGTCTGCTGAAGCTGACAGAAAATGGCAACATTGACGGGCTGGTGGAGGACTTCATCGAGAAGGAAGAGAAGAACTTTGCCTTCTTCAGCTACGTCACTGAACTCAACAATGACATGGAGCGGCTGCAGAAGAACATCGAGGATGTCCAGGTGAGCGTCTTCCCTCCTTGCCTCTGTTCTTGCCCCTCCCTTCTGCTGTTCTTATGCACACACACACAAACACACAAAGGCTCTGAACTCCCAAATCCTTATTTTTCTTTTTTAAAATAGCATCACATCAGCAAAACCAGGTAGAGAGACAATCTTGTTGTGTTGCTGCCACCATGCAACCAGCAAAGAAATTGCAAGGCAGCTCGGGTGTTTATTTATTTATTTATTTATTGGAATGGTTGACTTCCTGCATCCTTATACTGTATCGAAAGGGGGAACTTAAGCCGACTAGACTGTCGCTCCACGATAACTTAAAATTTACTTCCTCCGCTTCCCAATCTGCCGCAAAGCTCTAGGTATCTAGCACAGATGGCCCTGAAATCAACTGCCCTAGACTAGCTTTGACTGAATTATGACAAAACTGGTGATAAAGCCTCCAAGAGTACTGTGGAACCTTAGAGATGGAATTTGTTTATTCTTGCAAAGTTGGGAAATCTTTAGTTTTTCCAATGTTTTGGGTTTCAGATTCCCAAAAACTGCCTGCCATCCAGATGTACCATCTTGAACACATACTTGGATGGGAGACTGTTAAAGAACTGCAGCCCTGTTGAAGCCCTGGAGAGTTGTGGCCCTCTGTTAGACTTGGCAGTGGTGGCCTACGTGACCCATCGTTCTGAGACTCCTTTTAAAGAAAGTTCCTATGCTTTGGGGCCACAGGTTGTGGATGATCGGCCCTCCTTTAGAAGTCTTAGACTACTCCCAGAATTCCATGCTGTTCCTTGTTAACCACGCCCAACCCTAATTAGCTTACAAGATTGAATGGGATCAGTTGTATTGATATCATACAAACAGCGGTGTCTCCTCTTTGTTCCCGAGCACCCTCAGGTGGATATTTATGTTGAACCGTCTTCGCAATGCTAGGTTTGGCAAGCAAACTGTTGAGTCCTATTGACTTGTAGTTTTGTGCCCCTCTTTATTTTGCAGAATGAAATCACCCAGCTGAAACTTGAACAGCAGAAGAGCACAGACATCATACACGGCCACATGAAGGAACTAGAGGTACAGCCCATGGGGATGTGCAGATGAATAGAAAAGAGACCCTTTTTATAGCGCTCTCTCTCACCTTTCTGGAAGGTATAATGCCTTTGCTGAGGCTTTGTTCTTGTAGAAAAAAGGGTTACGCTGGAACCCTAGAATGCAGCCCTCTATAACTTATCTGAAATGAAGGTCAGCCCTCAGGTGGAACTAGGACCTGGACCTAATGTCTATAAATCACTTGGTTGCTGGCACAGTAGTGCTGGTGGTGATTCCAAGCTCTCTCTCCAGACGCTGACATACTGCGTTCGGGGAACTCTGAGCACATCTCCTTCCTCTGAACAGGAGAAACTGCAGAAAACGACAGAAGATGCCAATGCGTACGAGTACAAACTGAAGGAAAGCAGCAAAATCCTGGACCAGCTGAAATCCGCGGTGGACTTCCTGTTCAAGCAGACGGGCTGTGACGCCACCAAGATCAGAGAGCACCTGGGCGAGACCGGGGAAATCACGGATCAGAACCTGATGCAGTATTTCAGTGCGTGAGCTGGGCATGCTCTGGGCAGAAGCTGTTCACTTGTGGCGGAGGGGGGTCCCCCTGTCAGTGAAAGGTGGCGTCTCTGATATCGTGACAGGTTGAGAGATGATGAATCTGTTTTGGGTTTAAATTCAGACTTCCCAGCAGCTATTCAAGGCACTAACCCCCTTCAACAAAATAGTTCTTGTTTCCTTCAGATGTATCCAAAATCCAAATGACTTCCTCCTCTTCCCTGCCTGGCAGGTATTGTTGAGAAGAAAAGCAACGACCTTCTGCTGATCGAATCTTTCTTACGCTACAAGGAGGTAGAGGGGGAGCTGGACACTGTACCGATGCTGAATCCATTTTTGGGAGGTTCTGCCTTGCTGAAAAAGCTGGAACCCATTAAAATTGCTCCCCCAGCCATCAGCCTGGATCCTTTTGCGGACATTCTGGAGCCGTGTAAGTATTTTGTTTTATATTTTTATCCTCCTTATTCATATTATGTCTTCCCTGAGCTCAGCATGGTGTATGTACCTCTCTTCCTCCCCCACTGTATCCTCACAAGAGCCCTGTGAGGTTGGTCAGGTTGAGAGAGAGGGAGTCATTTTTTAAGGTCACCCTTTGTAGACATTTTTAGACTACACTTCCCAGAATTCTTTGGCTAGCATGGCTATTAGCTATGCTAGCTGGTGGATTAGGGGTTTTGCGGTCCAAAAAAAGAAAAGAAAAGCGCATTTCTCAAGACCTGAGGAAAAAGAAACAGAAGAAGATGAAGAAGAAGCACAACACTATGGTCCACCTGCAAAATCCAAACGTAGGTTTGTGTGACACCTTTATCAGAGCTCTAAAATATCCTAAATAGGCCCTGCAGGACTTTTCGTTCTGTAGGGTATTGTGAAGTTGAGTAGTCTTTAGTATATTCCAAGAAAATTCCTGATTTTCTGAGGGGGCACCTAACTGAATTGCCAACTTCTTTCTCAACAGTGGAGGGACCTTTAAACCATGAAAATCTCCGTGCCATGGTTCTGGAGAATTTGGAAAAAGAAAAATCCAGGAAGAGCTCCTTCGACAGAATCGATAACAGCTTCCGGGAGAAGAAGAAACCACTGACACCATAGATGTAGAGAGAAACGGGTGCAAGAGGGTGCTGGGTGTGAAGAACTGTGTTTTTTTTTTTTAACGCTCACTTTGTTTAGAAATATGCTTTGTACAAAATCCAGAAAGGTTTCTCAAGGTGGACTGTTTTATATACCTGTAGTGCTAAAGAAATTATAAATAAAGAAGGTTGTTTGAGCCTTCCGTTCCTACAGCCTGCCCTTACTTACTCTCCATTGAAAAGGATGTTCCCCAAATTCTTGGCAATGTTTTTATTCAGCTGTGAAAAGTTAATGTAATTTTTTGTGGACTACAACTCCCATAACCCCCCCCCCCCCAGTCACTTTGCTGGCTAGGAGATTCTTGGAGGTGTGGTTTGAAGGAATTATGTTTCCATTCTATAATTTGATTACAGCTTTTCCCAATTTGGAGATGTGTAGATACACTGGACTATAATGTGCATCGCCCTCCAAGAGTGATGGGAGTTGTAGTCTCCTCCTCTGCATGGCACCAAGAAAGCTGTTCTACTGTCTTATTTGTGTTTTCCTATCTGCTGAGGAATGAGTGTCATCCGTTTACATCTTTTGTGGCGTTTATTTGATGCATTTTAAGTGTATCTCTTGATCCAAATTCTTCTCTGACAGAGCTATTTCAGGATTTGGGTGCGAGTGCTCAGAGGTGGAGCCTTTCCTCTCTAACAACACATGAATGTAAGTATTCCCCACCTTGACCTTGATGTGCCTGGAATAAATATTGATTTCCCCTACTCACCCCTCTTTTTACTGCATGAGTCTTGCAAGGTCAGGACATTTCCTAAAAAACTGGAAAACTGAGGAGTGTGTCTTGGTGTCCTCCTATTTTTTTTTTCTGATGCCAATAACAAAGCGAGGGTCATGGTTCCAGAAGTGTTAGGAATGGCTCAGTGGAAGGGCAGTGTGTTCGTTGCATACAGAAGAATCACAAAATCCTCACAGTATTTAACTTATGGATGTATCGGAAGTTGTCTTTCTTCCACTTCTTTGCTGTTGGTTCCTCCAAAGATGGAACCACTAGAGGGCAGCACTGTTCACCAGTTAGTTGCTAGGCTTCTGTATGAATCAGCTTGGATTGCAGCAGCAATTTGCCTTTTTTTTGTGGGGAGGAACCCCGTTAGGAGTGATTATCCTGCTGATCTCATTCATGTGCAGAAGAATAGGGAACTACCAAAATTTTCTCCTCACCTGCAAGGCATATGCATGTATCAAGATGAGCTCTTGCATCTTAGAGCATTAATTCTTTTTTCTACAGATAGCATAAATATGTGGAAAAGTAAAAGAAAATATAGCTTATCCCTTGTTGCATGGACTTTTACAAAAGGGGAAAGCCTAGCATGGGGTGCTTGCCTCTTTTTGGCCAATCAGCCGTGTCTGCTGTGCTTGCCCTGTGTGTGCCTGCCTCCTTGCCTGTGTTTTGCTTCACCAACGGAAAAGACACTAGCTTTGCACACAAGATAGCTTGTGCAAATTGCAGAAATGTCAGAGGGAATGGGAAAGACAAAACAGTTTCACAGGGGTTAATGCCATGTCGAGACAGATTTCCTCATTGAGAATGTATACGTTTGCAAGGATTTATCACATACCCAAACCACAGCCTAAGAAACTGGCGGCCAACTGAAGGATGGTACTATTTATATAGGTAACTCTGGAACTTTAAAAAAAAAACCCTTTGGAAAGAATAAATAGCTGCCTAGGAGCTGAATTCTAGAATTAGGATCATGATGAGTAGGCAACTTTCACCCCTTCTCCCATGGTGGTCCCTGCTCAAATTAGTGCTGCCCCTAAACTCTTGCCCGTTGCAACAGGAGGACATTTCTGACAGATAATCTGTGGGAATTTTCCTTTCAGGGCAAAGGGCAGACCTGTGAGATGATGGGCGTTGTAGTGGCCACTCGATTGAGGAAAGATGGCAAGCATCCTCGCTGGATAGCCCCGTCCCACCATCCCTTTCAGAAACCTCCAAGGTCACCCACACCAGTGTTGCAACATGGAATAGTTTAGAATAAATGATAGCTTGATGATTTGGCAGCTCTGAAGCCTCTTTTCCTTGATTCCTGTTGGAGAGAAAGAAGCCCAAGCTGGCCTGTGCTGCATCAGAGCTCTGCTGGTTCTCTCGGGGGTGTGTGTGTGACCCATGTGGGGGTAAGTATAACAGTCCTCTCTGGATGCTTAGCTGTTACTAAGGCAATGCCTGCTGTGTCTCCCTCCCTGCAACTCTACAGCTACTTGGTCTGTTGTAGAGCTTTCCAGAATGGCCCCTCAGAATACGTTGGTCCCAGTTTTTACAGAGGATGCTCCACCAAATGGTGAAAGACATCCCTTTGTCATAGCACTGAATTTTCCTCCCTCCTTTATCTTGCATTTAACGTACTGTACTTTGTTTTGTAATCTCGGAGAAACCCTGTTGTGGAAGTGGGTGGGGGCAATACCAAATGTAAAGAATCCCCAGAATACCTCTTTCGACTCTAAGCTCTACTTAGAGGTAAGTCAGAAACAGGATGCTGAACTTGCAGCCAGAAGGTTGTGAGTGACTCCTGACAAGTTTGTTTTGCTCTTCCTCCTCCACCCCAGTTTTTTCATAATCAACTCTCATTCATAAAAGAGATACTTGAATTTTCTGAATATTTCATTTCCAATACAGTTTTACAAATAGCTTTCTCCAGATATGGCTGGATTTTCCCTCCAAAGAGGATGGGTGAGAGGATGGGTCAGCAAGAATATATGCGGACCATACGGGGAACACACCACACCTCCTGAACAGGAACAAACAAAAGTGACTGTACATAAAGGTATCCCATCCTTCTGTCCTGGCTCTTGCCGGGCAGTTCCTAACGCCTTACTCTTAATCCTTTTCTTCTCCGTGTGTGATCACGTGGACGAGGTTCTTATAATCCAGGTTGCCGCTCACGTCTGGAGGGAAAGCAGCAAACATTTGGTCTACCTGCAGGGAGAAAAGATGATAGGGGTAAAGTTCCCTTGCATTTTATCATGTTATCTTCGCTGTTACTAGAGCTGCAGACTCTTACGGGCTCAGTTGACTACATAATCCAGCATAAAACCTATAGCTCAAGGAAGACCGAACTTGAGATGTATTCAATCAGTGAAGAAAGTTTCAAAGATCTGAGCCGAGCTGCTAGTGGCAAGACCTTCTGAAGGTCCTCTACTTCATACAATTCCCCTCAACTGGAAGGGATTCATTGGCACATAGCAAGAACAATGGCTGAGAACCCTAGCTATTGCTGTATTTTATTTTCCTTTCAAATTTGCCTACCTAATATTTTAGGATCAAGAGCAATTGTTATGTATGAAGATTTAAAGTAAATATAAACGTTCCTAATTTCCTACCTTTTTCTGTGTGTGTTTAATGTGTGTGTTTCCATGTAGGGAGATGAATAAAAGCACTAGAAGCGCAGGAAGATGTAAAGTGTAGAACTGTGGAATATGCAATGTTTCTCAGAGGGATATGCATATCCCAACAGGAGCAGTGTTTCTCAGCATGGTAGTGTGGTCACAGGAAATCAATACCTGTTGAATTCCTGCCTGCTGTACCAAAGACCGGAGCCCTGTCAATGACATGGACATGACAGACGCCTATCATCAACAGGAGCAGTGTTTCTCAGCATGGTAGTTTGGTCACAGGAAATCAATACCTTTTGAATTCCTGCCTGCTGTACCAAGACCGGAGCTCTGCCTATGACATGGACATGACAGACGCCTATCATTCAACTCCATGCTGTCCACTCTGGCAGCCAAGGTCTTTCTGAGCTCTCAGGTACCGTTCTTTCCTCTTCCTATCTGGAGATGTCAGGGTTCAACTCAGGCCACTAAGCCGAGACTTTTTGGGACTGAGTGCCCACAACCCCAGAATGACCTTTAGGGAATTTCTCTTACCTCCTCCTTTGAAAACCTCTCCCCTTGCGTCATGAGCATCTCTTTAATGCTGCCAAACAAAGCACAGGAAAGATGTTAACTTTTGGGGTGGGGGTTGATGGCAGGATTTGGGGGTTAGAAGGATGAAAAGGATGGCGTGACAGCCAGCAGGGCTTGCCTTGGCTCTCCTATGAATTTCCTTGCATTCCTAATGGCCCAGGGTGGGATTCTGGAAGCACACTTACTAGTTCGCCTTGAGGCCTTTGCTCTCTGGATCAAAGACTTTGAACGCATTCAGAATGGTTTCCTCTGGATCGGCACCTGAAAGATACCGAGTGCACCTGGGAAGTCAACACTGTTCCTACAGAGTGTTCTGTTTTACCCCCCATAGTTTGTGGTAGGGACATCACCTGGAAGCCACATAACCCTGCGAAGAGAAACCCAGTCTTGATTTGGTTGATGGCGTTGTTACAGGGCAAACCTTTTCATTGGTCACAGGTCTTCATCCCCGATACAAGGGCGTGGAAAGGTTCCTTATACCAGGGCAGGTGGCCTCTCCAGATAACCCATGACTCCTTGTTCCGCCTGACAGCATCTCTCCAGGAAAGAGGATACCAGCCACTGAATTTCCCAACAGTGATGTTCCCAGATCTTCACATGTTTAGAATGGCTTTTCCCATCACCAGGTACTGTATGTATATCCAGTCCTTTTTTAAAAAACAGGTTTCACTAGGTTTAAACTTTTAAAATACTATCTAGGTGAGGACTACGTGTGTATGTTTGTAGCTTCAATTAGTCCCTTCCTGACACAGGCAAATTTGGATCTAACCCAGTGAAGAGATTCAAGCAAGTCGCACCCTCCAAAGATAGTCTCAGAGCTACCCATGTCGACTCTCAATTCACCCACACTTTAAGGAAGATGTTTGTAGCCTGTGATGCAGAAAATCATACCTGTTCCCTCCTCACCTTTTAGTTTCTCTCCAAACATGGTCAAGAACACAGTGAAATTAATTGGTCCGGGAGCCTCTTTGATCATGTCTTCCAGTTCTTCGTTCTTCACATTGAGGCGTCCTTGGAAAAAGAGGAAAACTTAACAAGGTAGGACTAAAGTATTAGAAGTCAAGAATCTATTTAAACGTTAAAATGTCTCCCATGTTAAGCCTGTAGAGAGAGTGTCCCACTGTCATGCCAGCTGCAACACACAAGCATTTTGGGTGGCCCACAAAGGAGCTGAACGGGCTCCCCATCTTTGCTGCCTAGAACTGAATGTTTGAGGAGAGTGGACGCTTGATCAAGCCGCCATACAAAGTTGGTATACCCTGTTTCAGACTTGGTGGTGACCCTCAGTTATCCTGACCAAGATGGTATCAAACCCTTGAACGTCCCAAGAGTGATGTTCCCAAATCTTAGCAAACTTGAAAAGGTTACTCCTTCTGCTCGAGTGGGTGTTTCTGTTCTGAATGGCGTTCTCGCCGAGAAAAGTTACTATTTTTTGAATGATGACTCTGGGAATCTCTCATTCAGCAAGGACAGTGGGAGGGATTTGGAGAAGCATCCTCAAAAATAGAACTTTTTCACGTCCAGAGTGAGATCAGGTAGGGACCTTGGGTTTGGAAAGGAGAGTGAGGGATGAGAAGCATTCCAGTTGAATTATTCCAAGAAAGATCTCCCAGCTCCATCTACTAATATTTATATAGTTTCCAGGAGGGAGGAAGGAGCGCCCCCCTTTTGCCTACCTAATGCAGCAAATGTGTCTCTGAGGTCTGCTTTGTCAATGAAGCCGTCGCGATTCTGATCCATTATGGTGAATGCCTAAAATAGGAAGGAGGAGACCAAGTACAGTTAGGCTTTAGCAAATACTATGATCTCATACTAAACACAGGGTTTGATTTCCTGTCAGTCTTGGACGATTGTTTGTGGTTAAGAATCAACTTTCTAGTCCTTATTGATGAAATGCCCCATGAATCTTCAGGAAACAAGGAGTAGGTTGACCAAGATTTATTTTTATGAGGCCCAGAGATTTCTGTTGTTTGGGCTCCTGAGACTATGAAATATATTTCCCTCCAACAGCCTTTTAATGCTCTTTTCATAGAATCATAAAGTTGAAAAGGGAACTTGCTGATCATCTCATCAATCCACCTGCTGATATAGCAAATCTACTGTGGGCTATCTGTGCTCGTTGGCCATCTGGCTTGTGTTTCAAAATTTGTCAGAAAGCATGTCCAAGTTTTTCCTTCGTTTGCCCATCTGATGCACCATAGGAGAAAATATATTTCAACACAGAGTGTCTACTGCTTGGAGAGAGAGATTGAGAGAGAGACAGAGACAGACAGACAGACACACACACACATACACATAGAGCACATTGCAGGCTGAAGTTGGCAGGATTTGTGGCGTTCCAGCATTTAAGCTCTGGGATTGTGAACAGGTTCCTAGACTAAAACTCAGCTTAAGGTTAAGCCTTAGTGAAGCCCCTTTTTAATTGGTTTCTGGAACCTTAATATCTGACAATGTGGGGTGGCCTGAGACTTGGTATGTGCTGATGCCTTCAGAAAAGGGGTTAGCCCAGAATCTGCTCTGTATAGGAGGCTGCTCTTGAGGTCACTTTCAAATAGTATGTCTGCTCTATGGACTAGATGATGCACATGGAGCTGAGGCTGGCACCTGTTCAAAGCTCACGCTGCTGGGCATTATAGCACTTTCTAAAAAAGAATTTACAAAGATTCTAGGTGCAATCCTCCACCGGTAAATCTGCCTCCGATTCCTCAGGCCGTGGTTGGAAATAACACACCACAAATCACAGTGTTACTCATAACAGTGTGATCTGTTTCATGTCATATTGAGAATTAATGTTAGCATAACAAACGTTATATTTTTAAAATAGGTAATGATTTTAACACAATATTTATTGGTGGCTGCTAAAACATTGATTTTGAAGGGTTCATTCTGGGAGATTTTTTTTTAGCCCTTTTGATTTTTGGAAATTTCTAGAGAATAATTGAAGAAGGAACACATAAGTATGGTAACAGCAAGTAAGTAAAACATTGATAAGCTTCCTTAGGGGAAAAATATTGAATAGCATGTCACTTTTAAAAAATTATGACCTCCCTTGCTGTCGTCTGGGGCTTGGTTCACATACCTCTTTGAATTCCTGGATCTGTGCCTGTTCAAACATAGAGAAGACATTGGAGTTGGCTCCTTCTGCTCTCTTCTTAGCTTTCTTGGGTGCCTGCGGGGGATTCAGAGATGATTTTATCATATCTCATCCATTACTCCAACTTACAAAGCTCTGGGTGAGTGGTCCATTCGTTGGGGGATTCTGGGAGTTGTAGTCCAAAAACCTCATCTTTCCAGCTTCTGGGTTCTTCCCGAGATGGATGGCTCTCCTTAAGTAAGTTTACTCAACTAGCGAAGACATACTTGCGGTCCTTACCGCATCCCCTTACCGAGCTCCTCCTGAATCTTTTACTCACCATTTCTAAGACCCAGAGAGGTACGCTCCGCTCCCAACAATCTAGCTGAAATCTCTCGGCTGGTGCCCCTTGAGTTTGGGCTGCTGAGACAATAAATACAGCCCATCCTAGATTAAAAATAAACCCATGCCCACTTTTGGCTGTAATAGGTGAGTGATTCCTCCTGCTCCTCCCCCTCCCCCTTTCCGTCTCCTTTCTCCCATCTTAAATAACAGCCTTTCATTGTCATGCAGTGACATGTGAGACGACAGGGGCTGAGAAGGTTAGCGGCATACCAGCCGCCCCGACCAGAACGGCTTCCCCATCTAAGATCTCAATGCAAGTTCTGCTCAGGGGGCCCGAGAAGAGCTAGTCCTGTGTCAGTTTCTCTTGAACGCATGCACTTAGGCCGAGAGGATGGAAAGGTACTTCTTGGAAGTAATTGGTTCATGCCACTCAGCGTTTGAAAGGTTGAACTCTTTCTGTTACTTGTTGCAGTGTCACAGAAGTCACTTGGTACATTTTGCATATTCATTTTCTGCTGCTTTTTGTGCATAGAAACACTTTCTCAACAAGACGTGGTGGGTCAGAGGAAAGCTTAGACACAAAAGTTTCCTTCTGAAGTGCCTTTAAAATGCCACCAAGTGCCTTTTAAAAGTAATTTGAAGGGGTTGCTCCCTACAGCCATAAAGTAACTTCAGTCCTGCTCGTTATATTTTGAAATATAACCGCTTCATACTTCCATTACCCCCCCAATAGTTTTAAAGAACTACCCGTATTTTTCGCTCCATAAGACGCACCTTTCCATAAGACGCAGCAATTTTTTAGGAGAAGAAAACAGGAAAATATAATCTGTTTTCTTCGCTCCATAAGACGCACAGACTTTCCACCCCCCTGTTTTGTGGGGGAAAAGTGCATCTTATGGTGCGAAAAATATGATATGTTACTAGTAACTTGGCACTTGCAAATGTTGCTTGAGAACAGCAGGCATGGTAGAGGTGGAACTGGTTACAAAGGGAGGTGTCGTATTAGGTACGTATTCCCTTAGCGTAAACAATTCATGCGTGAAGTGACACGGAACTTAGTCTGGACTGCACCGTTTCATAATGGATTGTGCAATGGAAACCACAAGCCTCAAAACACTTGTTGCTCAAGGGGACAGGACTTCTCAAGAAGCAAAACTCCTTCTTCCATGTTCCTTTCATGTGGTACCCCTTGTGCAACTCCGTCCTTGATACGGCCTTCCATGGTTTCATCAAAGAGAGCAGTTCCAATTAAGCTCCATTTCGAGCTACAGGAGGTGGTATAAGCTCATGCCAGCCCTGCTTCTAGCAATGTGTTAAACATATCCTCTCCTTTGACTCAGGCATTGAGGGATGCAAGACAGCAATCCTATAAGAACTGAACCTCTCTGGTCAGAAGCAGTCTACCTCAGTTTAGAAGAGGGTGAAAAGAAACCAATAAGAGATGATGAATTTCGAGATTCCAGTCATGGGGAGCTCTCCACAGCCGTCTTGTTGGCCATTCTTGCGGGCGGAATGCTGGAAGAAAGAAGCTCTCAGCTGACCCAGGACAAAAAACCTTTCTGGGCTTTGTGTTTTATATTTTTAGCTCGCACACTCGGTCCCTGTGCATCTTCCTCCCCTCCCTGTCAGGCTCGGAGCGTAAAGAGATTCAGGCAGGGGGTGGGAAGGAAGGTGACACCCATGTCTGGAACAATGCTCTCTCGATCTTCGCCCTTGGTTGCAGCTGTCTTCGCTGCACATGATGAAAATGACCGAAGGTACCAACAGCTGCTGCTTTTGGATGAGTCTGCTGGGCCCCCCCGCCCCCTCCTCCCTGCTTCTTTCCTAGGAACATGGGAGCATTAAGGCTGGGTTCTGCGTATCAGCCATGCCGCCGAGACCCAATGATTCCCTGTAAAGGCCCATCTCTCTTCCGTATTCTCATTATCTGGAAGTGGAGCACCTGACAGGGCTATGCGCTGGATGCTCAGCTTGCAGTCGGTGCGTCTGATTAAATGATGAGCTGATGCGAACCAGCAGCTGTGGAGGCTTGTTCTAAGCAGGCCCATAATTAGGCATGCTAACAATGGGGTTCATTTTCTTTCAAAGGGCACTGGGGTGGTGGTGGTTTCTGAGTAGGGTGCAATCTCACTTAAATCTTGAATCTTGTGGCTCTATTGAACCAGGCCTGCTGGGTCTCTGAGGGTGTCAGGATGTTCAGCCACTCACAGCCCCTAACTTTAAAAACTGTTAGGAACCTCTGGAACTGGAGGTTGGGATATTGTGTTGCTGTCTAGGGCTATTATGTTCCTGCGGGGGGGGGGGCTCCATGCCAGTGATAGTTAGATAAAAGATAAAGTTTCCCCTTGACAATTTGTCCAGTTGTGTCTGACTCTAGGGGGCGGTGCTCATCTCCATTTCCAACCCATAGAGATAGCTTTTTGTCTGAAGACAATCTTCCATGGTCACGTGGCCAGCGCGACTAGACACCGAATGCCATTACCTTCCCACTGTGGTGGTACCTATTTATCTCCTTGCATTTTGCATGCTTTCGAACTGCTAGGTTGGCGGGAGCTGGGACAAGCAACGGAAGGTCACTCTGTCTCATGGATTTAATCTTATGACTGCAGGTCTTCTGACCTTGCAGCACAGAGGCTTCTGCGGTTTAACCCGCACCGCCACCACCACCAGACCAGTGATAGTTAAGGCCATGACAAAAATCTAGGAGAGCCACCTTTCTCTCTGTCCCCCTTTAATTCCCCCAATAGCCCATCTTTCTGCCTCTCTCTTTCTGACACCTGTTTTTTTCCTTGACACCTCCTCTTCTCTCTCTTTTTCTTTCTGTGTCTTTCAAGCAGCTCCTTTCTTTGTAGTTTTCTCTGTCGCTTCCCTGTTCTGTCTTCCCCTGCCACATGCACTGAAATGAGAAAAAAAAAGCTCAAAGACAGTAATCATGATGTTCTTCCCCTGCCACATGCACTGAAATGAGAGAAAAAAGCTCAAAGACGATAATCATGTGAGGGACAGTTTAATCAAACATCATTCCCAATATGATCTTTCACGTCCTGACAGTGACTTCTCATGCAGATCTCTGTTCTCCTGGATATCTCCATGGGCTGGATGCTAATTTGCAGAGGTGTTTAAAGGCCCAGCAAACTGTGTCAGATATCCTGGAATATAACTTGATTTCAGCTGAAACCGGGATGGAAAGAGCTCTTCAGAGTGGATCAGAGGGAGGAAGAAACCCCGCTACAGGTGAAACAGCGGTGCCTCAGCCCATTGCTAGACCCAGAGAGAGCCAGGAAGTAAAGTGGGTGAATTTAATTAGTGGGAGGGGGAACAATTCTCCAAATTCCCCCACAAGCAGGGCTAATAAGTAACCCAATGGCTTTGAGTTGGTTTATGTATTTTTCTACAAATGTTTATCGATCGGAAGATTTCAAAGTGCTGTACAACAACAATACAACAAATAAATTGTATAAAATCACTCTATGGGGTTAAATATACAATATTTACATTATCTATCAAATGCACACTCGGCTGAACTGATGGCTTATGAAAATGGAGAAGTCTTCAATGTGCACCTATAAAGAAAGAGTCCCAAATGGGTGCATTCTGGAAAAGAGATGAAGCCATTACTACTTCGGGAACATTCAGAGGGAGTTCCTATGTCACAGACAGTGTCACCTTCCCAGAAGGAGAAACAAGAGAGGGCAGGAACAAAAGAGAGGGAGAATATGCCAGTTATTCCAGAGAGGAAAGCCAAGGCATTTAAAAAGGGATTTAAATAGATGGGAGGCCAGGCATGCAAGACAAAGAGAGAGGGAGGGTGGGAGGGTGGGAGGATAAGAATAAACTCCGGGAAGGCCTGTTCATACCAAATGGTGCAGTTGGTTGAACAGCTTCAGCTTGTTGTGTGGATGGAACAGATTTCAAGTGGTGAGCTGGGAAACATGGTGGCGGTGAGTCCCTCTGTCTCTCTTGGTCTGACAGGACGATCATCGAGACTTCTCTTAAAGACGCCTGTCCCACCACCTGATCTTGGGATGTCGCATGTAAGATGAATAAATATAATGTGATGCTAAAGTCATCCATCATGGATCAGCTGTAAGCTGATGCTTTGGGACTGTGAGCAATATCCTGCGATGGTTCACTTGTGGAAAGCTTCAGTGAGTCACCAAATTTAAGGGTAAAAACATGCTATCTGTGGTAAGCATGACGTTAGAAGCAAAAGTCCCTTAAGAGGCTGCGTTTGTTTGTTCACCAGCACCACAAAGAGTTCTGGGTAATGCAAGTCGCAACTTAACCTGCTTCTGTTTCATGATTGGTCACCAGGAGACGAGCAGGGGTTTCATTTGCAAGTTGATTGCTCAGGCATGGGAGTTTTAGAGGAGTAGGTCTCCGGATGGGAAAAGGTTTATAGCCGCCCAGAGTGGTAGAATATACCAGATGGGCGAGATATAAATCAAACAAATAAAATATATAAAATTTATCATCTCTTAAGATCATTTTGTGTCTCTTAAGGTTGTTTTTGTCTAGTTTTGCCCTCATTCATCTTAAAAATAACACTCTAAGCAACATCCACCACTGGCAATTTTGGCGCCTTCCCCTCCATAATATCAGTCCGTTACAAAACTGATGGTATAGCTTCAGCCTTCTTACCCCTTCAAAGCTCATCCTCCTAAGGCGGCCAAATGTCCGCCTTTATGGGAGACGATCCTTTCTGTTCAGTGCACATCTGGATTAAAAATACTGACCTAAAAGCAGTTGTTTGTTTGTTCCAGCCTGAGTAGAACCACTGAATTAATGGCATCTACCTAGAAGTTGATTGAACCAGTGTTCTTTTATTCAGGAAGGTGAGCAGATACAGGATCCGGAGGCTTTGCCTGTGCACAGCAGGAGCTGGACAGCAAAAAGAAATGATCTGATCTCCATATCCTCCCATGGTAAGAGCATGCCATTTTTTTTTGTTTAAACTGATAGCAGACATAGAAGGGGAAGTTGTGGTTCTTGTAATTCTGCCGCCTTATGTCATATTTATTTATTTTAGAGCCGGATGATGTTTTGTTTATGACAAGAAGTTTTGAGAGATTTGTTGCTCCATTGTGTATAGCATGACTCCTGTGAGGATGCTTGGTCTGGTCTTTTTGCAGCATTTTTATTTT